ACAGTAACGCAGTAAGTGAATATATTATGTCATAGAGACTAAGGAAAAGATTATATGCAAACTCAGGTTCCACATGAAATTCTCACTTGCTTAATCTCAGCTTTAAAGAAGTCCTCCAACTGGCTTACTATCTTAAATACATTAGATACTGTGGGATAATGCTGCGTCTTCATAGGCCTCCTGGGACAAATTAATTTCACTACTGTGATATTTTCTGAACATAACCATGCTAGAATTTTCTATACTTCCTTTGTTTTAAAATGTGCTACATCAGCAAGCCAACATGAGAAATATGAATAGTCATACACCATAGATTGTCCTTGGATACCTGTCTATAGCATTCAGTAAAATTTCTTCCTCATTGCAGAAGTGCATCTAAGTTCTTCTTCCACCTCAGAACAGTACTTCTTCTGTCAACTGTTTTGGTGTTTTGAAACCAAGTGGAAAGTATTAATGTGATGGATTCTTAACTCTAGAAAAGCGATGAGACATATGGTTGCTGTTGCTTGACTAATACCATTAACATCACTTGTCATTTTGAACTTCTCATGAAAGTCTAATATAAGGCAGACCTACTTTCTGTATGCTTTTGAAAGTACACTTTCAAATCACACTCCTTTTAGCAATGGAAGAAGCCAACTCCCACACTATTGCTAATCATGGTTGAGAAGTCAGATTATTTTCTCATTACTAGATTTATCCTTAAAGACCAAAATAGAGATATATTGGTAAGACTAGTGTGGGAAAGCCCGTAACAAAAGTATATATATATATATAATGTAAAATATATAAAAAATATATATAATATATAAAAATATATATAATATATAAAAGTGTATATATATATATAATTCACTTCTTAAATAAAGAACTTTCTTCTTTTTAGTATTGTTATCATAGCAATGCCCACAAGCTCTATCATGCTAAAAGACCCATCATACCCACATACACATATGTGAAAAAATGTTACTACTTACTTTCAATAAAAGCTTGAGATAGAAGAGACTGGACAGGAAACAGAGAGAGGCATACTGCTGTGAACTGACTCATTCAGGACTGATCAACAGGTCAGGAGCACAGCCAGGATATGTATTCCAGTTTTTCTGCATTCCTGCCTTGAGAATGTGTCTTCTGACCTTTGTTGCACATGGTCTGCAGATCCTCTTGACCTTGTTGTGATGCAAAAAATAATGAACAATGATTTCTGAAACAATTTCTGAATGCACTGTGTTTTCCTGTGTCCATGCTATTGTTTTGTACTTGTTCATTTTCTCTTGTGCTACAGCTAGACTGTACATTCTTTGAGGAAGATATTGCATCTCTGTTCTATTCTGGGAATAACTACTAGTACGGCATCAATAATAACAACTTTTTCCCTTATAGCTAGTGAATTGACAAGTGTCTCTCATGAAACCCTCTTCTTGTTCTTCCTTTTTCCTTTCCTTCACCATCTCATTTTCCTTACATATGTGCTCATTTGATTGCTTATAAAAGAGCTCAGGATCTCTCTCATCCAATTATTTCAAAAATTATCTCTATCTGTGACATGAGGACGGACTGTGAAATGAAAACATTTTCAGAGCGTTCTTCACAGTCCTTCAGGATGCAGACTTTCAGAATGTGTCAAAAGCCATGTTATGGAGCTATCACCATGGTAGAAAATGTTGAATAGTTCTCTGAGAGAACGTTAATATTTTGGATCTCCCTCCTGCTGATGAAAGTGGGGAGGGGGGAAGAAATAAGGGAGTTTCTGTGAAATGTCAGCTGTCCAGAACAGTCCCGTGCAACCATATTTTATTTTTTAAAAAACAAAATCACTTAGTACCTAAAAGGAAATGTATTAATTTAAAAACAAAAACTTCTGTGGAATCAGTAACAAGTATTTCAATTTGGCCACTTGGTCATGGCACCCCCTCAGTGCTGGACCACTTGAGCATCAGATTTGCACGCCTCCATACCATGCTGTCAATTCCAAACCAAAGTATGCTACTTTTGGACTGAGGTATTTTAGCATTGAGGAAACAATATTTACTGTGCTAACCACTTGCAGTTATCAATCAGCTATACTAAATTTTTACAGATAGCTACTACTTGCAGTGATAGTCTTATCATGCAAAATAATGATATATGCTGCAATGACATCAGCCCCTTTTGCTCTTGAAGGCTCTAATAGAACACTCCAGCATTGCATCAGAACTTCTTCACCCTGGCTGATGTTTTTGATGGTTGAAAACCTCTCCAGGATCATGGGCTGGTGAAGGATCCCCACAAGTAGCTGTTGCGCAGCTCTGAGATGGCTGGCTGCTCCACATGAGGAGAAAAGCTGTGGGGCACCCCGTGGGGAAGAGCCTGGCACGCCAACCATGCAGAGAGCAAAGGAGGCTCAGGGAATGCCCATGGCAGCCATTGAAACAGGATGTCAGTCAAGTTCATGGTGGCAGACTGGGAGGTCAAGACCACATGACTGGGCCAGGATCAACAGGGTACATGGCCAGGCACAGCTGCCACAGGGCTGCAGCAAAGCTCAGATTACTAAATGCAAGAGTTTCAGCTTAAAAGCAGTTACAAAGAGAAGTAAGGAGAAATCTTGATGAAGCTTCTTGGCAGAGATGTTTGGGGAAGTCTCTGTTGAGGCTGCTTTCTTTCAAGGCTGCCACCTACATAAACTCCCGCCTGGCCTTGAGCCCAGGCACCCAAGCCCCTAGACTCTTTTGGAGCAGCTTCTCAACATTTTCCTGCCAAGTCAGCTCTCTGCCTTTTTTCAAGGTTTTGCTGAACCTCACTTCAGTCCCTCACGCTGTTAAGTCTGTTCCAGTCTGAACCTGCCAAGCCTTTATTTGCAGCTGTTGCCTTGGGCTACATCATCTTACACTACTTTGCATCTCTGTTTTGCTCTCCAACAGCAGCTGTGGATGCTATGAGACTGCCCTCATCCTCCTCTTTGCTGGACTAAACCAGACTAGCTCCGTATCCCATCTGTTATTATCTTGGCAACAATCTGCTAGATCCACACTAGTTTCTCAGAAACCATTCTGAAGTGGGAGGTCATGAAAGTGAACACAGAAATCCAGAGGCAGCCTTACCAGTACCAAGAAGCCAAGCTTACAGTTTTCCTTATTCATGAGGATAGCATGATGCTGGCTTCTGTTTAGTCTGGCATCCACTGCATCCACTGAAAAACTTCCAGGTTTTCAGCGTAGACCTTCAACCTCTGACTGTCCCCATGAGTGTTTTTTGTTTATATTGTTTGTTGTGCTTTCAGTTTGTTTGTTTTTCCCTCCCTAATCTAGATGTTTTTGTAAATGGAGAGGCATGTTCTAAGACAGTTCTGCTTTAAAATGATACAAGTAGTGACAGTACAGTTAAGCTTGCTAATGTTTGCTGATACTGCTGCCCTGCAACTTGCTCAGATAACAGAAAGAGCTGTGTCTCTGAACCAAGGAGATAAGGAAGTCCTGCTGAGTCTTTGTACCAAGGAAATAGCAAGTCCAGCTTGGAATGGGTCATTGAATATATAACATACTTCTGGGAAAACCTGAATGCGTAACATAACTCTGAGAAAACTTCTGAATATGTAATGTACCTCTTGGAAAACTTCTGCATATGTAACACCAGTTACGTATATAAACTGAGGATCTTTTTGCATAAGCTATGCATGATAGGAGGATTACTCCCGTGCATCCAGAGCTGCCAATAAGAATACTTACTTAAAAGTAATAAAACTTTCGCTGTTAAGTTTCTCCGCATATATTTCTTTGGTTCAGAGCCATTGCCATTAGCTGGCATTATTGAGAGTTTAAACTTTTATTTTGCAATGTTCTATAAAAGAAAGAGTATAAGGTTTAAATCCCACAGATTCCAGATGAACTTTTCCCTTATTCCCATCTTTTCCTTTAAAGTGCACACAGGTAGAACCAGACACGCATCCCACACATTAGCAGCTTTCCAGTGTTATCAGAATTCTACTTAATTGTCTCACAAATCTTTAAACTGGATGAAGATATTATTTTAGAACCCTGCTATTGTCTGTTAAAAAGTTCTTAGAAAAAAAAATTCTTGAAATAATGATCTGTCCTTTTCTTTTCCTGCCAAACGGATCATGTAAAGTTTCTTAATTACATTCTGTGTGTCTGAAACCGAGCTTTCCAGATAAACAAAATCTGTGGACAGGTGGTAGTGATCAAAGGACTTTAATTGAAAAAGATCAGCTGACAGCTGTATAAGGAATCAAGCTTTTAAAAATGTATAGGATACATATCTCTGAAGAAATGTTCCAAGTGGCCACGGATATATATATGTGTATATATATATATATTTAACTCATACATTCTTCCAGAACGAAACTGGCAACGTATTTTCTTCAAATGTTATGGTTAAAAATCAAGTCAAAACATTTGTTATGAAAAAAAAAATACATTTAAATGGGAAAGCAATCTATGTTTATGAACTTGCCAGAAAAAGAAGAAAAATAAAAAGAAAAAAGAAAAAGAAGAAATAAAAAGAAAAAAAAAAAAGAACAATGAGTCAAGGAGCGAGGGGCAAGGCCAAACAGCCTTATCTCTTTGGTGGAGCTATTGGAGAGAGTCCAGAGGAGGGTCATGAAGATGATAATCACCTCCCCTGCAAGGCCAGGCTGAGGGAGCTGCGCCTGAAGAAGTCTGCAAGTAGCCCTCATTGCAGTCTTCCAGTATTTAAAAGGGAGCTATAAAAAGGAGGGGAATCAACTTTTTACTTGGGTAAGTAAAATGATAGTTATAGGACAAGGGGGGAATGGTTTTAAGCTCAAGGAGGGAAGGTTTAGATTGGATGTCAGGGAGAAGTTTGTTACCAAGAGAGTGCTGAGATGCTGGAACAGGCTGCCCAGAGTGATTGTGGATGCCCCATCCCTGCAGGTGTTCAAGACCAGATTGGATGGGACCCTGGGCAGCCTGGTCCAGGAGAAGATATGGAGGGATATGGAGGTTGGTGACTCTGCAGGAGGTTGGAACTTGGTGATCCTTGGGGTCCTTTCCAGCCCAAGCCATTCTACGATTCTCTGAAAAGAAAAAAGAAAGAAAGTCCAGATAAGGTAAAGATCCAGGGAGACATCATTGCAACCTTCTGGTACTTAAAGGGAGCTTATGAAAAAGAGTGAAATAAACTTTTAATATGGGTAGATAGTGATAGGACAAAGGGGGGTGGTTTTAAACTAAAGGAGGGTAGATCTAAATTAGATGTCAGGAGGAAATTTTTCAGTGGGAGGGTGGTAAGGCACTGGAACAAGTTGCCCAGAGAAACTGCAGATGCCCTATCCCTGAAGGCACTCAGGGCCAGGTTGGATGGGGCTCTGCTCTAGTGCCTGATTTAGTGGTTGATAAGCCTACCTGCAAACGGAGGTTGCAATTAGATGATCTTTCAGGTCCCTTCCAACACAAGCCATTCTATGATTCTATGAAAATAAAGTATAAGTTTTAACATTTTCAAATAGCTTTGAATGTTTTGGTTTTTTTTCCTAACAGCAGAAATAAGAAATGAAGAAATTATAAATATTCTCTTTTAAAAAATTCAACAAGTTATTAGTGGAGTAGAACAATTGGAAAAGGATAGGGGACATTTTTACTTCTCTTTGGAATAACAGGATAATTGAAAGTTGAAGAAAAATTATTGGAACCTGGAATGATTGTCAATATGATGTTCATTTTCTTGACATTAGAAGTCTAAAATAAGATTAGATGGTAATAAAAGCATGCAGTAAAGAGCATCACAAGTACTTGTGTAACATTTCAATTTAGGAATATGTTTAATAGACATGGCAAGTAGTGCTAAGTACTTCTTTTTACTTAGGACTTGTTAGGAAAATATCGGTGCTTGTTAACAGCATGATCTATGTAGGTCACTCCGAAAGTAATGCCTCCTATAAAGAACACAATAACGCTATTTGTTAGAGTAAATTCTTAGCCATAAAACACTATTTTTCAACACATTAGCTATGCATTTTTGCGAGTGATGAACAAGTGTCAACCTGTTGTCGTGCTCTTTATATCTGTTTTAGTTTTCACAGAAATAAATAGGAGGCATTATTTTTGGAGAGGGCTACATATAAAATATGTATTTATATACATATATAATATGTAAAACAAGACGATTCCTCTTTACTCAATGCAGCCCAAGCAAGCCAAAAGTTTGTGCACCCATGGACTAGTGCATCAAACAGGCCAGATACCCTTCTCTGTCTGCAAGACAAACAGACATGGCTGACAAGTCACCAACTCTTGCAATTCCCCAAGCCACAGAAGGAAATAATTTCCCCAGAATCAAGCAGCACTTGGCACTGCAACAAGTATGGAATTGTGTTCAGGGCCAGCGGTGTGTCTGCTTGATTTGCTGGTACAGATGTAGTGAAATATGTCTGAAGTGAGCAGTCTGAAATGTAAATGGGTTTTCTTTCTCTCATTGGTTGCAGGATTCAGGTTCAGAGAGAATGGAAATAAAAAGCAAAAATGAAATGAGAATGAAATCTGCAGTCAGCTGTGTAGACAGGCAGACTGTGATGGATGAAATGTCAGGTCACATCCAAGTTACAGCAGAGCATCCCAAAGATGCCTTCATTATGACAATATTTTTATCTTGATTGCTGCCAACTTTAATCTTTGAGGGACTTTGAAAGACTTTTGACATCTGATTTCCAAAGCTTTATGCATACATAATAAAACTATTGCTTAATCCCTTCAGAAAACAAACTTTTCCTTTGTGTATGCATAATAATAATACCTCTGCATCAACTAGAGCCTGTAGGTGTTACATGTGAGACTGGAACATTCAAAGCAACATGTTTGGTGGGTTTTTTCAGTCTGACTTGAGAAAAAAATTTACTTTTAATATTTGTTATATACTGCCCAACAAAAGAATATTGTCTTCCAAAGTGGAGTAGTTTGCCTATTGCAAACATCTACAGCTGCATTCACATTTCTGATCATATGGGCCTTATAGGGCAAATGTTGACCTAAGCTTACCTGCAAAGGTGCAAAAAAGGCACTGTAATAGAGCATGTGACATCAGAGCAGCTTGTTAAGAGAAACTCTGTCAGTTATCAATTACACTGATGAAACAAACCATTTGTCAGAGCTGACATACAGCCAGGCATCCATGAACAGACAATGAAGCATTAGCTAATTACCTACCAAGTCTTTCCATTGACTTGATTGACTTTGGCAAGCAGATTCAGCATGCAAATTTACCATTCTACAGGGACGTAGCACTTTCATTTAGAGACATTAGTTCTTCCTCACAGGAAACTACTTTTCTCTCATAACGTTTCCACACAAACAAAACAAAACAAAACCTAGTAAAGTGCAGGAAATACTTCTGTGCATTTGGCACTTGATACTCATGAAACTTCAGCAGTCACTATAAGCAGCTAGGGCTAGATGTAAGAGTTGGCAGGTGCAACCAAGTTCTCCACCCAGAGCAGCCATGGCAGCGCTCCTTGGCATTCCTGATCTCTGATTATATCAAGGATTTTCCAGTAGAGAAGCTGACAGCCACAGTATCTGTTGGAAGGATTGAAAAGATATCTGTAACAGGAGACATTTAAAACATACTGTTGGTTTTGGCCTTAAGAGTCAAATTAAGGTTTCAAGAGGGAAAAGCTTCTTCCTGCCTTTATGACCTCAAGTAATCACTGATAACACTATGAATAATTAGAGCTGTGAAATTCAAAATGATGCTCTTCAGTTTGTTCTAATGCACCAAAAAGTCTTTTATCTCCTCCAGTGTGAAAAGGCATTTCACTTCCTGAAGTTACCCTTGCTGCCTGTCTTTCTGTTGCAGTGCATCAGGAAAAGAAATCCCATTGCCATCTGTTTTCAAGGTAAGCACATGAGCTCCCTAAATTTAAAATATGTCACTGCATTCAAGCTAATTGGAGGAGCATTTTTCTTTGTCTAAAATATTTATCTATGGAATAAAAACATTGCATGAAAGAGTGCATTGCAGGGGAAAAACACAGAAACTATGGATTGCCTTAGACTGCCTATGTCAACCATCTCTTCTCATTCTCTGCTTCAGCCTGACATGAGCCTCATTCCTCAACTTTCCCAGAAGGTAGAGATGGGCAAATAGTCACAGCTGCGCAGAAGCAGAGTATCTAAATTCAGATAATAAATTAACATGCATTTGCTTTGCTTTTACTATTAATCCTGGCCAAAAAATAAAAAAAATAAAAAATCTTAGCATTCAAGATTAGCGTTGTATGATGTTTTGTACAACTGGCCAGTGAACAATTTGCATCTAACTCAAGAAGATCAGTAGACACCTCAGTTCCTCACTTTTCAACTCTTTTTTCCTAATGTGACCCAGATCCGTTACAGACGAGGGTAATCTTGTATATGAACAGTAACGAAATTCATTTCTCTAAGACACACAATCCCTCCAAAATACCTGTTAGGGAATTCCTTACACATCGTAACAGGAAGCTACACATGAAGTTAAGATTAATAAATAAGTTTATGCGTATGTAAATTGCCTTTACCAGGGAACAATATCTAAACAATGTAGAGAAAACCGTAGACACTTCAGAAGTGAAGCCATAACATTCAGCCACATAAAGATGCTCTTCAGTATCTCAAATTATTTTTGTTTATGTAAACTACCACTGCATCTATAGAAAAATGAAAAACAATTTCACTACCGCTCTTATTGTTGAACCTTATATATTCCATTATTATATTTTATTGATATGCTTTTCAGAAAAAGCCTACTGAAATGGCTAATATCCTCCTTTAGTTGTGTTCAGCTTAGTGTAGGATTTGTTTCTTGAAGTATGATGGCCTATGATGCATAGAATCAGATTAAATAAGCTGCCTGAACCTGATCACTGTTTAATATTTGAAATTTAAGCATATGGGCAAGTGTATTCACAACAGAGGCCTAGAGCAAAGGCACCTAAGAAAATAATGTTCAAGACAGGGAGTGAGAAAAGAAAAGAGCCTCGAAAGCAACAAGTGATAATGCTAGAAGATGTGTGCTTTGAGGAGCTGGAAGCATGTGGCTTTCAAGAAGTAGCAACATTATCAAAGAGTAAGAGGAAATAATGGGACAAAAGTAGTAAAACGTACATCATGAGATTATTTCAATGGGGGCTTGAGAAGTGCAGGAAGTGAGAGAAAGGACCAACTTTTTGCTGCTTGAATAAATGAGGTTCCAAACCTATTGAAGCCTCCAGGCATTAAGAGGATTTATATTTTATTTTTATATTTTCTTGTGCTTCCACTCTTGAGGATGAACTTGCTTAATTTTTTTTAAATACAAATTCATTTTCATGGAGGTACGGTCTACATTTAAATAATAATTATCATTTTCCAGGCAGTGCTGCACATAAAACACATTGTAATACAGTAAAAGCACAATTGCCATATGCAACTGCCATAGAAAAAAATAGATTGAAACTCGTAAGGCAGCTGTTTACAAACATACTGGTTAAACGAAAGTATGAGGTTCTGAAATTATCATAAATTGCTGTGAATACACTAGATGAGTACCAGTGTAGAAATATATACAGGTATAGTTTCTTAAGCTTCTCCAAGAATAGCAAATCCCAGGATTTTTAAACACTTATTAAAAGGGGTATCGTATTGATAAGACTTCTCAGAAGTAATAATGGCTCTGGCCAAGAAATGCTGTACAAGGTACTGAGTAACAGGCGAGATCATTTTCACAGCTTAAGTCTACAGCTACTCCAGCTAATCACATTTTTACGGTTCACCTTGTTCACCACTAGTGCAATTAACTCTGTTGGGAACAAAGGTATCATACAGAAAACTGAGCTGGCTTAATATTTTACCATCAAAACTTCAAGCAACTCTGGACAAAAATATGATGTTCTCATGAATACGTCAGTCAGAAGCACCAATTTACCAAAACAGTTGATGCTCCATGTTCAAAAGGAAACTTCTAGTGTTTTAACTTGTTTCCTTCCCTTCTCCCACTCCCACACCCTGCTGACCAGAATACAGATAATTATGTTTTGATTTGAGAGAAAAGTCAACACTTCATATGGTTTATTCTAAACATATTTATCCTTAACTGAAATGAGCCTTCAGTTCTTGTTTCGCTTTGCAAATAAAATTCTGTGTCAGAAAATTAGAGATTGAGCTCTCCTTATACATGAATTACTTCATGTCTTTCTGAAAAATATTAACCATCTATATTCTTCAGAGGCCTACAGAAATTCAAGCACTAAATGACTAAATATTACACTTATGTTCTGACCCCATTGGTACCTTCCTTTTACAAACTTGAGTTCAAGTTTTACCCAAAGATCATCTGTTCACATGCAGTCACCTGGCTTTAAAGTTCTTTCTTCTCTAAGCAGGAAAGCATTTCTCTAATTTGAAACTTGACTTCCCTTATATATTTATTATTTACTTAATATTTCACCTTACACATATTTGAGTACCAGCATATTTTGCCAAGGTGATTAAATAGCCTGATTAGATATCAGGAAAAGAGGGTCTGAGCAGAGATCAGCCATGTGATCTGGAGAGAAACTTTGTCTTACTGGTAAAAATATAGAAAACTACATGAATTGTCTTGAATGTAGTTGAATCAATTAGAATGTTTACTTAAATAAACGAATCCAAAGGAAACCCACTGTGGCTATTGTTTATGACATTCATTAGAGTAGTTCCCATAAAAGCAAGTCTACAAATAACAATCTTTTACTCTCCACTCACACGCTCCCTTTTGTATGTTATTTAAAAAATTAGTTAATGTCCACTGAAATACTGAAAAGCTAATGTAACTGTAAAATATAGCATAATTAACTTATTAGAATAAAACAGTAAAAAAAAAAAAAAAAAAAAAAAAACAGCAACCAACTTTAAAAATAGCCCCTGTTATGGAATTCTAAAAATAAAGTTAAAAATTCAACCATAATAACTTGTATTCATACAATCATCTCCCATTTTCAAATTTTAATTTGCTCTTCCATTTGTAGAATTGTTCACAAATTTGCCAAGATTTTAAAACAGCAGTTTCTAATTAAAATATTACTTTGGATTTCCTGCTGGACATTCATTTTTTTATGAAGTTATTGCACAATTTAACCGTAAGTTAACCATTACATCCTCTGTAAACTGTGCATGACTGATCTCTTCTACAAGCAAGTAATTCTTTAAAACTCTCTATTGCTGCCTGATGGGATTTAACTTTCTTTTTAGAGTGGGTTGAAACTCTCTGTTGTTACAGAGATTTCACCCCTGACATTAACAGATGTTGACAATAGACAGGAGATCCCAGCAGTGGTAACTGCATAGGTGCAGGTGTTACACAAGGTCAGTTCACAGCTCTGACTCATATTTCTGAGCCACTGTGGATGTACCATTGGTTCTCCTTAACCAGACCTGTCATCTAGTAACAACAGACAAGGAGGTATTCAACAACTTTTTTCCTCTGTCTTTACTACTGACTGCTATACACACAGCCCTTGAGTGGATGGTTCAGAAGATGAGAAACAGGGGAGCAATGCCCCTCCTGCTGTAAGTGCAGATCAGGTTTATGATTGCCTGAGGAACCCAAACATCCATAAATCTGTAGGTTTCAATGAGATTAATCCCAGAGTCCTGAGGGAATGGGCTGACATAGTCACCAAGCCACTCTCAATGGTATTTGAAAAGTCATGGCAGTCAGCTGAAGTCCCTGGAGACTGGAACAAACATGATGTCACACTCATTTTTTAAAAATGCAGAAAAGGATGACCTGGGAAACTACCGACCTGTCAGCCTCATCTCTGCCAGGGAAGATCATGAAGCAGATCCTGGAAGCTGTGCTAAGGCACATGGAACAGAAAGAGGTGACTTGGGATAATCAGCACGACTTCATCAAAGGCAGATCCTGACTGACTAACCTAGTGGCTTCGTATGATGGCATTAACTGAGACTGTGGACAAGGGAAGAGCCATAGATGTCATCTATCTGGACTTCAATAAGGCCTTTGACACAGTTCCCCATAACATCCATCTCTCCAAATTGGAATGATATGGATTTGACCAGTGGACCATTTGATGGATGAGGAACTGGTTCTGAGATCATACCAAAGAGTGGTTGCCAATGGCTCAGTATCTAGATGGACATCAGTGGTCAGTACTGGGACAGGTGCCCCTTAACATCTTCACTAATGACATTGACAGTGGGATTGAGTGCACTCTCAGCCAGCTTGCAGATGGCACCAAGCTGTATGGTGCAGTAAACATGTTTGAGGGACAGAATGCCATTCAAAGAGACCTAGACAGGCTCAAGCAGTTGGCTTGGGTAAACATCATGAGGTTCAACAAAGCCAAGTGCAAAGTCTTGCACCTGAGTCATGGCAAACCCCACTATCAATACAAGTTGGGGGATGAAAGGATAAACTGCATGCTGCTTTCTAACACCACAATGGAGTTAGAGAGTTTTCTTCTTGGACTTTGGATAACAGCCCCAAGCTGCCAGAGTTCAAGGAGCTCTTAGACAGTGCTCTTATCCATGACATTTGGATTTTGAGTGATCCTTTGTGGAGGCAGGAATTGAACTCAGTGATCCCTGTAGGTCCTTTCCAACTTGGCATTCTGTATCTCAATAGATACTTGGTCTGTGCAAAGCTCCATCTTATCTCTGCTGTCTAAAGCAGCTTCCCAGTTACTTTAGCTCTTTCAGCAAATCCCTGTCATCTGACTGCAAAGCCATCTTCAGATTGACAGGAAGTGCATTCCTGTGCTTTAGGTTAATTGAGGGACTGCCCATTTCTTCTCATGAAATAAAAAGCTGTATAAACCCAAAACTTAATGAATTTCTTCCTGGACTTTAAATTTGCAGAACTGATGGAGGGTTTGAGGAGGGTTTGTAAGTAGTGAAGTGTTTCTGGATACCATATAGATAAAGTAAAACAATGAAACAAGGATTACGTGCTAGTAGCTTACAAAACCCGGAAGCCTGTTATCACAAAGGCTGTGGTTCACATCTCAATCCAATTAAGATAATTGCACTCTCAGGAACAGCACAGGAGCAACTTAGAATAAAAGGCACAGAATGCACAATTGTTTTTGATCAAATAGAGAGGGAAGTTCAGTGAAGTTCAAAAGCTGTTTGTATGAGTTCAGACATGTTTCCACTTCTACAGTGCAAAGCTGAAGCACCTCTGGTTTCCATTCAGCATAACCCAAGGCAGTTAACTAATAGAATTAGAGACAGGTATGACAAGAATAGTACAGAGAGGGGGAAGAAGGGCTGGAGAAAGCTGAACAAATGAAACACCTCTAATTTCTGAAATACGTGACCTTATAATGGTCTGTACTGCATTCAGGGGAGTATTCGTAAGGATAATTTTAGCTAAAAATTTTGTAACATTCTAAAAATAGTATTTTCACAAGCTTTAATTGTATACTTCATCTTAGGAGCAGAATTAATTCTGTGCTGTACACGGTAAGGTTCCAAAAGTAATTTTGGAGCATATTCCAACCTGCCCAATGTAACATGTTTCATAATGGGGGGCCCAAAGGTGTTCTTTACTAAGACTAAATGTCTTGATGTAGTTAGGTAGGCAATTAAGTAAAAATGGCAGAATTAATCTTTGAATGCACGCTCGCTTAAAGGCCCAATGAACAATGTGCATGCCTTCAGCAGAAAGCAGCAAAAAGAAAACAAAACAAAACAAAAACATAACCAGGATATGATTAGGATTTTTGAGCATTTTTTTCTTCAGAAGAAAGCTGCTTCTCATGTCTTGTATCTGTAGAGTTTATCCAACATTCTTTTGCTGCAAGCAACTGTTTTAAAGCTTTACCAAAAATAATAAATCTAGAATATTTAAAAGTGAAGGTACTTTTCATGTTCATAGCAGGTTAAATGAGACTTCGAAAATGTCAGAATTACAATGGAACATACTTTTCCTGCAAAAGTGCATAGCTTGATGTATTTAAGTAATTCAGATCTCTAACAGGCTGCAAGTATGTAAACAAGCCTTGACAGCATCAGCAATGCAAAGCATATATATTATTGTCTCATCTATTAAAAATACATTCAGATACATTAAATAAGCCCATATCTACTGACTTCCAACCCCCTTTTAATTGCTAGGTACTCTCTGGTGATTTTGTTAACGTGCACTGCAAGCTATCCCTATTAGCTGCTACTAAAACAAGCACAGCAAGAAAAATGCAGACTTGCACATAGCTGGAACAAGTTATTTATGTAGGCGTAGCAAAGCTTGACCATTATTGACTAATTCAAAAGACAATGTTAACTCAGCTGGTACTTACTCAGCTTAAGTATTACATTACTTGAGATTTCTGCTGTACAACACATACACTCTAATGCAGCAATGCTTTTAGCTATCTATCTCGCGTACATCAATGCAAGAAACCCCAAAGGTCCGTTATCAGAGGGTGAAATAGTCTCTGGGGTTGTTAGCAGCCACAAGGGACCTCAGTTGTGCGGGACAGCGCCCTTAACAACTGCAGCACCTGATGGAAGGAGCAGGGGGGACTCGAGGCCGCTCCTTCGGGTACTCAAGTGGCAGTGACACGGCCCTCGACCTGGTCCGGCTTCTTAACCTTGCACTGCTCAGCTGTACCTGCCAACACCGTCGGCACAGGAGGCGGGGACCTGACATACATCCCGCCCTCCTCCCCGTCCTCCGCCGCACCATTGGTTGATGCGGGGGGGGGGGGGCGTTGCTGGCGATTGCCGATGCAGGAAGCGGTGGGGCCGGGCCGGGCCGTACCAGGCAGGGCGGTGCCCGCGGCTGCTTCGGTCGGGGGCTGTGCTGAGTAGGGCAGAGCCCGGGGAACGTCGGGCTGCGCGAGTGGAGAGCGGCTCGGTTCGGCGCTCTTGTCGCTGTCACAGAGCGGCCCCCGGCTCCGCCCGCCGCCGCCACCGGGGAGAGCCGTGCGGGCGGCGGGGGCGGCCTGACATGAGATCATCGCCGGCGGCGGCAGCAGCATGGCCTCTGCCGGGAGCGGCGGCCGCGCCGCATCGCGGGACGGGGAGGCCAACGGCGAGCCGGACCGCTCCTTGCAGCTGATGCTGCGGGCGATAGCGGAGGAGCGCAGCCGCACCGGCCTCCGCCACGAGATCAGCGGCCTCGGTGAGGGGCGGCGGCGGCCGGGGCGGGAGCGGGCGGCGGCGGCGGCGGGAGGCGGGCCGGAGGGCTGTGAACGCCGCGGGGCCGCGCCTCGGCTCCCGCTCCTCCGTTGTTTGGCGTTATTGGGCCAGCGGCCGGAATTACTGCGAGCAGAAAGCGTGTGTCGCGTGTTTGGAGTACGGACGCTCGGCACTCTCGCCGACGCGCGTGGCCGTCGGGTGGTCCCGGTGGGATTTTCCCTGCGCCCAGCGAGCTGCCCCGCGCTGCTCTGCGACTCGGGGCTTGTACCGGGAGCTCTGGCAGCGGAGCGGCGACGGATCCTCCCGGCACTCTGGTGGGCTTACATCCTAACGTGTGTCGCGGGTGACGTCTGCTCAGGTGTTTTCTAAGCCCCTGTTGCAAAACGGGAGCTGGGAGTTGTGCTCCAGTTGACTTGAGGTGGCGATGGTACTACAGCTGCTTTAGCTGAGAGCCTTTGGGCCGGGAAACTCTGCCAGCCAGGGTAATGAATAGAAATCGCTCGTTATGTGCAACTGTGAGATCGTGGGCATAGAAAGCTCTGATGTGAGCACTGGTTTTTGCATTCTTCAGAGCTGCAGTATGCACTGTGCTGGAAGGGGTGCATGCATAGGATTCCCTGCAGGGTCGGGGCTTGAAATTAGGAGCACTTAAGTGAAATTTGTTGTTGTTACTTCTGTGTGGCTCATCCTTCCACTCCTCGCTTACAACTTCCCAGATGTTTGTCTCCGGGTCTTTTGTAAAAACTGAGTTTTACTTGGATTTTACTGGTTTCTGTGGTGCATGTTGGTGTAGGAAGCCTTGTTCTCCTTCTGTCCCCTGCATACCAGGTCAGCCCCCAGTGCTTACTGGGGTCTCCACAGGGAAAAATGGGCTCTCTCCTTGTCTCTACCTTGCACTTAATGAAAGCTTCTTCAGATAAAAAAAAAAATGAGTCTTTCTCATTTCTTCATGCTTTTTCTAACGGCTTTGTGTCTCCGAATTGAACTGGAATATAGAAGTGTTATGGCCAAATAAAAAAAAAAAAAAACCAACAAAAAAAAACAAAACAAAACAAAAAAAGAAACAAACACCTCTTATGGTCAAATAAAGCCTTGTGGCAATGAACGTGTGAATGAAAGGGGGAAAACAGTACAAACAACAGCAGCCAAAAAGCCAACTGTGTGAGATTGCATTCATGGAAAACTTGTTGCTGCCTCGTGTTTGGCCATATCAAGTTTGAGTGAAAATAAAAGCTTGCAGGAATAGAAATACTATCACTGCTTTCCTTTAGTGAAATTGGCTGGTGATAACGTAAGACTGCTTCCTTGCTGCTTGTAATTGAAGGTATAACTGAAACAGGTCATGCTTCAGCATGGCTTTGGGATGACCATGCAAGCTATGGGGCAGTATTGCATCTTTCAACCCCCATCCCTCCTCCCAACCCCTGACAGAGATATATAAATAAAACTCCAGGGAAATGACTGAGCTCCTTACACTGAGGTTAATTCTGGCTGTGAAGGGTCTCCTGTGTGTGGCTGTGCCTGTTTGAAACTAGGTCATATGTCAGCATAGGAGTGCCTTGGGTGTTCAGTTTTTGTATCTAGCTGAGCTCCAGCTGCAAATGCTGCTGTTTGCCAGTCTGTAGCTGCTATACCTTGCCCACCAGTGTGTCCTGCTGGCAGAGGAGTGCCAACATACCAAGTGGGACTGCTGTCAGGTCACAATATGGACATTTAAATTGTCACATTTGAAACAACCAGCCTTGAGGATGGTAATGCTGACCTTGGGCAAGTCCCATGCCTGGCTGCGGGACAAATATAGCTGCATCTGGTTTTAAGATGGTGGTTTGTCTTCTCATAATGGACAAATTCTTTCCAGTGGTGTCAGGAGTCATAGTAGACTCAATCCGTTGTGCGTTTGGCTTGAGTGCTCTTAAAATCAGCTTTGATCCTGTTAAACTGTAGGTTTTTCTGACTGTTCTTAACCCCTTTGTGGTAAATGGAACTCAATAGGTCAAATTAGTGAAGCTTTTTTCCCGTTGTGTGTTTTCTTTAAGTTTGCTCCCCAGTTTAAGCAGGAGACTGCTATTTTTGCTGATGCTGGATTTCTGTGAGCAAGAACACTTCAAGAGCATCACATCAGCAGTTAAGCAAGTGTTGTCCAAAAATGTAAATCCCCTCATAAGGGATTTTCCTAATTTTCCTCTTTGTGTAATGTAGAAAATACATCAAGCCCTCTGACATCACACTTCAGAATAATAACTCATATATGACTCTGTGCCAGGCTGATTAATGGGAATGATGATGCCACTATGAGACGTCTCAGCTGCATGTCAGTGTCATCCAGCTGTGCAGGGCATTGCACTCAAAGCTAGCTCTGAAGTGCAGTTTGGTACTGCATGACACTGTCAAAGTAGTTCTTTCTTAGGGAATGACAGGATTGCTTTATGTCCTTTATAAGAAAGTTTTAGATGCCTACAGTTTCTATATAATGTTAATTGGGTGGCTGTGAGTACTGTGTTCTTCATTTTAGGACCTAGTTGATAAAGCATAAATAATATGAGCTGGGGACTTATCAAGCGCTGCTTTTCTGTTGGGAATCCCTTGCTGTGTTGTGCTTGCTCTCCTCAACAGTGTTGTGTAGAAAGCTCTGAAGTTAATTTTTGGCCAAAGCCCTGGCCTGATAGAGTTTAGGTTAAATCTGAAACTAGATATGTAGTGTTGTCAGATGCTTAACTTCTCTGTCTTTTATCACTTCAGGGATGAGTTGCCCTGTCTTCAGTGCAGCCTAATGTTCTCGGTTGGGGATATGACTTGCTACCTTATAATTAGTAAGAAAAGAAAAAATTAGGTCTGAATACCATCTTGAACCATAGCTGATTGACAGACATGTAGCCAAGCAAAAGTCTTGAGGCAGCTGGCTCGGGACTAAACCAGCTGTCAAAAATTGCTGTCACTAGGCGCTGGTGACAGCAGCTGCAGTGGTTACAGGTGCTGGCTGAAAGGCTAGGCCCTTCAGAAGTCCTGATAGTTTTATCACTAATTAAACGTTCCCTTTGGCTTCTTGTTTGGGGAGGAAATGCTCTTTTGTTCCTCTAACCCTTGATAAGAGGAGGGCAAGGGGAGGTCCCTTCCAACCCCTACAATTCTGTGATTCTGAATGCACGCTTGGCAGAGGGTCAGCAGAAAGAGGAACCTTTTTCCTCACAGGACTATGTGAACTTGTTTGTGCAGCAGTGATCTTCAGAGCCTGTCGTGTGAATAAAGGCAAGGGGATGATTCATGTGCCAAATGATCGTGATGAATAAATAAATCTCGGAAATAAGTAGGTCTCAAACCTTCCTGAGAGAAGGGAGGGCGAGGTGGCGTTACTAAGTGTTTGTGGACATTGTGAAGATATGATGGGAATGGGAAGGCTTGAGTGGGAAAATGTGGGGGGAAAAAAAGTTAAGGACAGCAAAACAAATGTTTGGAAATGTTAAAATAAGAATTGAGGAGAACTACAAATAATTAGGACTTGAATGTATTAAAATCAGACCTGTGTAGAATGGTAATAATGTTAATTAAATTATAATATTCACAAAGTATATATTTGCTTCTGAAGCTCTGAAGAAAATATAACCACTGAGTAGGTGGGAGGATTTACTGAGGGTTTTGCTAAGCTAGTTTGACAGGAGTAACTTGGATGTAGAAAGAAAATATATTCTTTGTTCATGTGTGTTTGTGGAATTGGCTCAGTGATTAGTCCAGTCAAAGGTGAGGGACTAGAAAAGCTGGAAAGCTTTGTTTTCTCTTGAACTGTGAGTAACAAGAAGGTCTGTAAATCACTTCTGCTCTTCTGAGAGCTTGAGGAACATATACAAGCAGTCAAATTCACTACCTTACAGAAAAAATTGTAGAATTGAGAAGTTTGGAAAAGATCTCAAAGATCATCCTGTCCAACTGTCCACCTATCACCAATGTTGTCTGCTAAACCATGTCCCTCAGTACAATGTCTGAATGTTTCTTGAGCACCTCCAGAGTTAGTGACTCTACCATCTCCCTGGGCGGCTTGTTCCAGTGCCTCACTGCTCTCTTTGGAGAAGAACTATTTAGTAGTGTCCAACCTGAATCTCCTCCACTGCAACTTGAAACCATTCCTTCTAGTCCTATTGCTGGTTACGTGGGAGAAGAGGCTGACCTGCATCTCACCACATCCTGAAGCTGCCAACTTCTCCAGGAGAATACTGTGGTAGACAATGTTGAAGGCTTTGTTGAAGTTTAGGTTGACTATGTCAACAGCCTTTCCCTCATCCACCTGATGGGTCACTCAATCACAGAAGGAGATCAGGTTGGTCAAGCAGGACCTGCCTTTCGTGAGCCCATGCTAGCGAGGCCTGATCCCCTGGTTGTCCTGCACATGCCATGTGATCTCCCTCAGGATGATCTGCTCTATAACCTTACCTGGCACCGAGGTCAGATTGATGGGCTTGTAGTTACCAGATCCTCCTTATGACTCTGCTTGTAGATGGGAGTCATGTTGGCAAGCCTTCAATCCTCTGGGACCTCTCTGATTGACCAGGAATACTGTTAGATGATTGAAAGGGGCTTGGTAGTCGGTTTCACCAGCACCCTTGGATGGATTCCATCTGGCCCTGTGGACTTGTGGCAGTCCAGGTGCATAGCAGGTCTCTAACCTAAATTGTGGGGGGTTTATTTTGCTCCTTATCCCAGACTTCCAAGTCAGAGGGTAGAGTACCCCAAGAACAACTGATCTGGCTTTTAAAGACAGACCTAAAGAAGGCATTGAGAACCTCAGCCTTTATCTTATCCTCAGTGATCACATTCCCTATGACATCCAGTAAAGGATGGAGATTCTCCTTAGCCCCCTCTTACTGTATGCTTAATGTATTTGTAGAAATGGGTTTTTTGTTCTCTTTTATCCCATTGGCCAAGCTGGGTTTTTGCCTTTCTGATTTTTTCCTTGCACATCCTATCAACTTTGTGCTCTCCCATGTTCCCTGG